GCTGCTCTTCCAGAGGTCCTGAGTTCAATTCCCAGCACCCACAAGGTGGTTCACAAGGATGTATAATGGGATCAAATTCCTTCTGTGTGCATGAAGACAGAACACCCATACAAATAAAATAACGAATAAATAAATATTTTAAAAAATAGTATCAGGCTGGACATGACTCAGAGGTTAAGAATCCTGTTTTCATTTAGTTCCTACCCCACAACCACCGTAACTACAGATCCAGAGTATCTGATGCCCTTTTCTGGCCACCATGCTCACACACATGAATAAAAATTAAAAGTCTTCAAGAATAGTATCAGCCAGGCATTGGTGGCGCACACCTTTAGTCCCAGCACTTGGGAGGCAGAGGCAGAGGCAGAGGCAGAGGCAGAGGCAGAGGCAGGCAGATCTCTATGAGTTTGAGACCAGCCTGGTCTACAAGAGCTAGTTCCAAGGCAAAGCCACAGAGAAACCCTGTCTTGAAAAAAAATTAATTAAAAAGAAACAAAACAGTATCATCTAAGTACTTAGATTCAGAAACAGGTGAGTAGTATGTGAGACACAGAGGTGCACATTATTCCTCTGTATCAAGACTTTTGTTAATGTTACTGGGTTTTCTAAGACAAAGTTTCTCTATATAACCCTGGATGGCTGACTAACTCACCTAGAAACTCAGAGCCTGCCTCGGCCTCCCAAATGCTGGGATCAAAGGCATGCACCACAAGGTATTTAAAAAGGCATCCTAGGTAAGCTGTAGCCCTAGCCCAAGACCTCATGATAGGCACCATTTTTTTGTCACTGTTACTGGGTTCCAGTTTCTTTAAAAAAGTAATCAAAAATAGGCTGTATCCTACTTACCTGGGCCTCTTCCTCTTCAGTAAAGTCATTTTTGATATTGAAGGTTTTACGAATCTCCTCAGGAGTTTTCCCCTTAATCATATTGGCCACAGTCTTGCACGTGACATCAAGCAAACCTTTGATGTCTAAGTAGTTTGCAGCCTGTAAATGACAGCTGGTTTTTAATCATGTGTACTGAATCTTTAATTAACAAGCTACATCAAATTGAGCTTAAAACATACATCTTTTAATGAAATTCTCTATCCTTTAATACTAATTACTTTAATTTAACTTCGCCTTTTACTAACTTTCCTCTAATATACTGCTTTACCTTTATCCCAAATTTTAATTGTTTTATCTCAATTCAGTTAAAAATACTAATTTAAATTTTTTCTTTTGGCTGATAAATAACTAGGAAATTACTGAATTTTCAAATATTTGCAATTTTTTTCCATACTTTATTGTGAAGCAAGGTCTTACTATGTAGCCCTAAATGTCCTAAAATTTGCTATGCAGACTAAGCTGGCCTTAAACTCAGAGCTCAACCTGCCTCTGCCTCCTATATTCTGGAATTAAAGGTTTGCACTATTACACCCAGCTTTAAATATTTTTTATGCTTCTACCACTGAGGTCAGAAAACCAATTAAGACTTTTTTGGCCCAGAACTTGGTCTATCTTGACAAGAATTTATATGGCCAATTAAAATAAGCTGTTCAATAGTGTTCCTGAACTGATTCTGTCCACTTGTTATAATTACTGAGAAACAATATTGGAGTCTCTATGACCTTTGTGTTTCACTACTTATTTCACTTTTTGAAGTTCTGCTTCTAGGTGTTTATAACTAAATCAATACCCTTATCATTATGAAACAACCCTCTTTAGCTCCAAAATATAACCATTTTAGCTTTCGTTTGATTTGTATTAGCATTCTCTTTTCCATCTTTAATTCTAATTGTGCCTGTTTACTTAAAGTGATCTTCACAGACAGCAAAAGAGTTTTTATTTGACCTGACATTTCTACCTCTCAAAAGTGCTTGGTCCTTTACATTTAATGTAACTAACATGTAACATTGCATGTGAGTCCAGAGAATATCCACATTTGAGGATCAATGCACCTAACAAATTTAACCCTTTAAATAGTGAAGGTTGTGCAACAGAACTACCTTATACATTAACATACCAGAATAAGTTCAAAAAGTGTTCCTTGGTCAACTTTCAGGAATTCTTGGTCCCAAACAGGAATATCATCTGTCCGCTTTTCTTTGTTCTCATCATCCTCAGGAGGAGGAGGGTCATCCTTGTGATGGGTGCACCACTGAATGACCTACAACAACCAATTCTTCAGGCATTCTGTTACAAGACTCAGTTTAATGCTGGGGACATCAACCCTACACTACACTGGGATAAGAACTAGCTAAAGGTTGATCTAACAAAAAGTTAAAGAGTTAACTTTTAAAAATAAAGTTTATTTATTGCACACACACAATCACACACAGGAAGGTTTGACAACTGGGCAGGAATTGGGTCTTTTCTCCCACCACGTAGATCCATAGTTCAAACTCAGACCATCAAGCTTGGCAGTAAGAGGCATCAGCAAGATACCTTGTTGGCCCTAAACTTGCTAGTTGCTGCCAATTACCTTGTACTCCTGATCCTCCTACCACCACCCCACACCCCCAAGGCTGAGATTACAAGCACAGCCACCAAATCCTCTAACAGCCAAGCTCAAAAGGCAAAATGAGGCTTGAATAATCTTTTTAATTTTCAAAGATGAAAGATCTTACTAGATGTAGCCGAATCATTCATAGCAATACATCTGACTCTGTTAAAAACAAAAACCAGTAGAGGGACCAGACGTTTGTGGCACATCTATAATCCAAGCAGTTGGAAAAACAGGGTAGGATTTGAAAGAATAAGGCAGTTCCAGGCCAGCCTGAAAGACACAGCAAGATCTGTCTCAAAAAATACAAAACAATAAACTCTCCACAAACCAAGAGGCTGGATAGATGACTCAGAGATTAAAAGCATGTGCTGCTCTTCTAGGAGACCAGCACCCAATGGGCACCTCACAAATGCCTGTATTTTCTGTCTTCCGGTCTCTGCAGACACTGAATGCAGATGGTACACTCACAACAAAACACTTGTACACATATATGCATAAAAATCCTTAAAAAAAAAAATCAGAGGGGTTGGAAATAGCACCCAGTAGTTAAGAACAACTTGATGCTAGTCCAGAAGACATGGTTTCAATTCCCAGAACTCACAACCATCTGTAACTCCAGTTCCAGGAGACTTGACACCCTTTTCTGGCCTGCTCAGGAACTAGGCATGCACATACAGAAAGGCAAAATACCTATATACATATATACTAAAAATAAAATGCAGGGCTGGGGAGATAGTTCAGTCAGTAAGTGCACTTGCTGAACAAGCCTAAGGACAGATTTTGAATCCCCAGCATCTACATAAAAAAAGATGAGATGGCATGCACTTGCAATCCCTATTGCTTGTGTGTGGGGTGGGGTGGGGTGGGGTGGGATGGGAAGTTTGTTGGTTACCAGTCTAGCTCAAGACTCAAGACACAAAGAAAGTAATAGAACAGAACACCAGATGTCCTCCTCTGGCTTCATTCAGGTAGACATCCAAAACACATGTATGCACATACCACATACAATCAAAACCAAATTACTAATATACACAAAGAAACAATGGAAAGAATAAACGCTAAGTTCATTAACAGGTATGGTGGCACACACCTGCAATTCTAGCATCCACAAGGCAGCAGTAGGATTGCTTCCAAGTTCAAGGCCAGCCTGAGCTATCAAGCAAAACCCCATCTTAAAAAACAAACCAAACCTGGCAGTGGTGGTGCACATCAGCAGAGGCAGAGGCAGAGGCAGAGGCAGAGGCAGAGGCAGAGGCAGAGGCAGAGAGATCTCTGAGTTTGAGGGAATTCTAGTCTACAAAACGAGTTCCAAGATACACAGGGCTACACATAGAAACTGTCTCAAAAACAACAACAAAACAAACACAAACCAAAGAAATAAAACAACAAAATCTACCACAAAAGATCTTACCTGGGCTGGTGATGTAGCTCGGCATCAGAACATTCATTAAGCATGTTCAAGACCCTAAATTCAATCCCCAACACCAAAATAAGGAAAGTGAAAACTAATCACTAACCTTTTTTAGAATTGCTGCATTAACATTTGGTAAAGGAACAGGATCATCATCTCCCTCATCATCCATTCCCAAATCTAAGAAAACCAGGAAAAACAAGCCATTAGTGAGTGTCAACTCCACAACAACTTAGTTAGGGCTTCTGTTGTTGCAATAAAACACCAAAAGCAAGTTGGAGAGAACTGAAGCAGGCAGGCACTGAAGAAGCCACTGTTGACTGGTTTGCTCAGTCAGCTTTTTTCTTCTTTTTTTTTCCAGACAGGGCTTTCCTGTGTAACAGCCCAGGGCATCCTGGAACTCTATAGACTAGGCTGGCCTCGAACTCAGAGATCCACTTGCTTCTACCTCCCGAGTGCTAGCGTAACCGGCTTTCTTATACAACTCAGGACTTCCTTCCTGGAGGCAAGACAAATCCACAATGGGTTGCCCCTACCACCACCACCACCACCAGCAGCAGTCAATTTGGTGGGAGCATTTTCTCATTTGAGATTCCCTTTTTACAAATGCCTCTAAAACTATCTAGTATGGATGGGCATGAGGGCACATACCTGTCAGTGATTTAATGGAGTATGGATAAATAAGAAACAATCTAGAAAAGCTGAATCCTATTCTCTCTTTTTAAGTATGAGCCAATTTTTTTTTATTTCCTATATTTGAAGTACTCTTTGGGGATATCCTATTCTTTGACATAGTACTTAGCCACTCCACAACTGCAATCAAAAACTTTACAAGGTTTCCCCTCTCCATCAATTTACACAACTGTCTCTAACTCCAGTCAGAGGAGAATCTGATGTTCTCTCCTGGCCTCTTTAGTGACTGCATGCACAGGGTATACATAAATACATGCAGGTAAAACACTTACATGCAGGTAAAACACTTACATTTAAAAAAAAAACAAAAAACAACATATATATGGGGCTGGAGAAATAGCTCAGTGGCTAAGAGCACTGGCTGTTCTTCCAGAGGTCCTAATTCCCAGAAACCACATGGTGGCTCACAACTGTCTATAACTCCAGTTCCAGGGGATCTGACACCCTCACACAGACAAATGTGCACATAAAATATTTTTTTAAAAAACATATATATCCTGGAAGTCAAAGGAGAAGTAAAAGGTAAATCTTTAATACTGCAAATCCAGATGAGAACCAAAATTGACACTGCACTTGAGTTGAGCACAAAGCACTCACTAAGGTCCTTTACAACAAGTTTCAGCAGAGTGGTAAGAGCAGATCATTTCCTCTCTCCTAATAACTCCAATACTTGTGCTAGACCCCTTCCCACCTTAGAGTAAAATGAAACCAAAAAGTAAAGCCTCAAGTTTCATATATAAACATCACCCCCCTCAACAAATACTGTTAAGAGAATCTATATAAAATTTTTCTTTGGGTAACAGATATCGATATTGAAAGACAACATAAAATACTACCTTTGTTTAAATACAAAGCTATTTGGAAGAAGGCTTAAGTAATAATAAGGTCCTGATGGCTATAAAGAATTGCTTCCCTAGTATTTAGATAAGTAGTGTTTTTCTTTAGGACCATATATGAAAGTAGCAAAATACACTCTTTTAAGCTGTTTAGTTTCAGGTACTTCTGACAGACACCTGTATCTGATACAACACCTTATACTTGAACAAATAAGCCAACCCATGTGTACACATATCAAGATTTTCATTTCTGAATATCCTGAGTTTAAGAGTTTCATTTTGTTCTTTAAAGTCACATGGAACTCTAACCAGACATTGTAAATACAAAACAAAATCAATAAGCAGTCAAATTCAAAGAACTCCAGATCTCAAAAGGCTAGAATCCTGTAAGCTCCAGGTACTCAAATGAAACCATGAAGCTTTGAGCCTACAAGGGATATACAGGGAAAGAAGCCTTTAACGATCTATCAGTCTACTTCTGAGATCAAAGCTAGTCTGTAAAAGTTTCTAGGCAACTAATGCTCTTAAAATCGGCAAATGCTTCTTTGAAGCAGCATAGGACAGATCAGCATGTCAAGCAACCACGAAGATGAAATAAACACTTCCATCGCCAAAACAAGTATTTAGGGAGCAAGTCTGCTGTCAGTTATTCACCTACCTTTACAGACACACTGAGATTACTTTCTTCTTACTGTGATCATTCCATACTTTTTCATTCAACAGGTACTTGATAAACCATGACTTAAGGATATACACCAAGGAGTTTACAAACTTAATAGAGGGGATCTGCAACGTGTATTACCAGAATACAGAACTTCAGGTGCCACATGACATGTAACAATTACCAAAGAGAATGTGTTCACAGCTTTTATTTTAAAAAGTCACTCACAGGCTATAGAGAGATGACTCAGCGGTTAAGAACACTGACTGCTCTCCCAGAGGACCTGGGTTCAACTCCCTGAACCCACATGGCAGCTCACAACTGTCTATAATTCCTGTTCCAGGAGACCCAACATCCTCACACAAACATACATGAAGGCAAAACACCAAGTCACTTACAAAGAAGACATACCCTGTGCAATCAGCATAAGTCCTCTACCTCAGGTGAAGAATACTTGCCTATGCACAAGCCTTGGGTTCAGTTCCCAGTACTGCAAGGGGAAGAAAAAGTGCCCTACACTTTTTCTATTAGATATGCAATCCAGCAAGCACTCCAGTCACCTAGAAATGTTTCCTCTTCCCTTGAGGGAATCTCCAACATAATTCAAGTTCAAAGTCATTTTCATTTCTATTCCTCTCAAATTCATTCATCTTTACCAGTTACAGTATTACAATCTTACGCCATCTAGACAAACAGCTACTAAAAATTGTACGTAGGCTGGGTAGTGGATGCTCACTCCTTTAATCTCAGCACTTGGGAGGCAGATCTCTGTGAGTTTGAGGCCAGACTGGTCTATAAAGCAAGTTTCAGAAAAGTCGAGCTGTTACACATAGAAACTCTACCTTAAAAAAAAAAACTAAAAACCCCCTGGCATTTGATTTACTTATTTATTTTATGAGGGTGGCTGTTTGTCTGCATGTGTCTGTGTACTACCTGCATATCTGGTGCCTGTGTAGGCCAGAGAAGGTGCTAGAATTGAACATGGGTCCTCTGGAGGAGCAGCCAGTTCTTTTAACCACTGAAGCCATCTCTCTAGCCCCTTCAGTTCCCTTTTTGATTTTTAATTATTTTATTTTTAGTTATGTGGGGGTTCAGGGTGGGG